AAATAAAAGAGTAATTCTTTTCACTGTCTGATATTATTTAGTAACTTTTTGTTTTTCTTAGACATTGGAATTCTATGATAATAAATCTTGCAAATGGCTATTAAAAGTCAGCTTTAAATACTAAGTTATTACATAAGAAAAATACAAGTCTGACGTTATAATCATTTTTTGCTAAAGATCACATCAAAATATGTTTTAAATTCTTGGAACTAAAATTGAGTTCCTTTTTCCATTTTTCATTCAATTCAAGACCATGCAGGAAAGTGATATTTGGTGAAGGGGAAATTTTACACAACGTAGACAATCTAGACTTGGCAGACAAATGACAACCTCTATACCATACGCTACATATAATCATTTTATTCAAAAGGCAAGCAGTGGCTCACACAAAAACATCTTTGGATGCATAAAAGTTAATCATGAAAAAAATCCTCATGATTTCTGATCCTGGCCTACCTGTCCAAATATCAACTTACTGGTAAGCAAATACTAAGGTAAAACTATGCAGTTATGACCTACATTTTAAAACTAGAATTCTACCCATCTCCCAGGTGAACTATTAAGTCTGATAGTAGAACAAAGGCATTTTCAGAAGGCAAGAGCTAAAAAATATTACCTCTTACGAACTTTGTCAGAGGGTTGAAAGCACTAACTAAGTGTGTGTACAAAAGGATGTGCGCCATCAAAACAAGGTAGAAAATCAAGAAAGAGGAAGACCTAAGATCCAGGAAATAGGATCTAATATAGGAAAGAAGAAAAAAGAAATTCCAAAATAATGGCAAAGAGAAGTGTCAGCATAACAAAGAACAACCAGTTCAGAAAGGAGGAGCAAGAGAAATCCAGAAGGGAAGTTTCCAGGAGAAAAAACGGCATTGACAAATTATCTAAGAGCTGTGACAATGAAGAAACTTGTTTCGGCAGGTATTAACAGAGTGACTTAGGGTTTAAGACGTTCAAAAAAAATAAAGCAAATGAAAAACAGTAAGTATTATTAATGCTAGAACAACTACAAAAAAGCATAGGAAAGGAAATATGCATATTATTTGTTAGCAGCAAATAATTTACAGAATCATAATAATAAAAACACTAAAAAATGAAACTACTATACACTTTGGGAGGCTGAGGCAGGTGGATCACCTGAGGCCAGGAGTTCGAGGCCAGCCTGGGCAACATGGAAAACTCCGTCTCTACTAAAAATATAAAAATTAGCTGGGCATGGTGGCATGTGCCTGTAATCCCAGCTACTCAGGAGGCTGAGGCAGGAAATCGCTTGAACCTGGGAGGCAGAGGGTGCAGAGCGCCAAGATCAGCCCATTGCACTCTACCTTGGTCGACAAAGCAAGACTCTTGTCTCCAGAAAAAAAAAAAAAAAAAAACAAAAAAAAAAAAAAAAAAAAAAAAAAAAGCAGCTACCATAATAGAAAGTCACCAAATATCCAAAGCCAAATTAAGACACACATATACATAATCTGTATTTTTATATATTATATATATTTATAATTTTAAAAATGGAAGTATCAAAAGAAACTGCTTTAAAAAAAGGTCAAAAATTCCCTTGGGAATATTTGATGAGCAGTGGCTAGGTTAATTAAAAAGAAAAATTTTTGCTATCAACTTTAAAATACAACATGACCTTTTGTATTTTAAAGTATATGCATGTGATTTTTTAAATAAACATGAATACTAGTCTAAAACAAATGCCAATTATTTGAATCATTATGGGGAAAAAAAAAACAATATTTGAATTGGACTTCTCACTTACAGGTGGCTTTTTAAAATTAAAACTCTCTAGTTTCTCCCATTTAAAAAGAATCTTCACTTAAATCCTCATATTCCCCCAACCACTACCCAACCTCTCCCCTTCTTTCACAGCCAGACTTCTCAGAAGTATTATCCATACGTCCTCTCCAGTTACCAACCTCCTACTCATTCCTCTCATCATTCAACATGGTTTACCCTCTATCTAATCAAGGGACATAAACAACTTCCACATCAAGAAATCGCATGGGTGTTTCCAAGTCCATCGAGTACCTTGACTTGGCAGCATGCAGTTCCACTGTTGCTCCCCCCGGCCCCCCCGACTCTCCCCTCAGCTTCCATGACTCAAGCTTCCTCTGCTTCCCTTTGAACTCTCCAGCCCTCCTCTCCCGCTCTCTCCACTATCCTGACAATCTCATCCATGCCCACGCTTCAATCACAACCAATACCCTAGTGACTCACACGTTTTCTCTCTCCAGCCAAGACCTCACCTCTGAACTCCAATGAATATTTCATTGTAAAATTGGAAAAATCAAAAAAAGTGGTTTTTCGAATTACTCATTTATGTAGTGTGGATATTTGTTCCCACTAAAATCTCAATGTTGAAATGTAATCCCCAAAGTTGGAGGTAGGGCCCTGTGGGAGGTGTTTGAATCCTGGGGGCAGATCCCTCATGAAGGGCTTGGGCCATCCCCTTGGTGATAATTAAGCTTTCGCTCTGAAATCTGTTCACTTAAAAGTGTGTGGCACTTCCCACATGCACACTCACTCTTACTTGCTCCTCCTTTCACCATGTGACATCCTGCTCCCCCTTCACTTCCACCATGACTGTAGCTTCCTAAGGCCTCCCGAAAAGCTGAGCAGATGTCAATATCGTGCTTTCTATAAAGCCTGCAGAACAATGAGCCAATCAAACCTCTTTTCTTTATAAATTACCCAGTCTCAGGTATTTCTTTATAGCAATGTAAGAATGGTCTAATACACTCATCAACTAACTCTAAGCACCTACTTCTTCCTCAAAGGGTTGGGTTGGGCAGCGGGGGGGAATTGTAGTTCTAAGTTTCACTGCTGACTTTTTCCACAATTACCTTGGAAAGCTACCTCAAGTTGAAGCTAGTAAGAACACACTGCTTGATCACTGGGCCAATTTTCTTGAAAGTATAATATTCTAGTGCCAACTTTTAAAAGATTTTAAAATATTCTCTGTACTGTCATTTTGTGACCATTTAAGTTAGACACTGTCTAAAAGATTATTTAAAACCCAGCTAACATTTTTTTAAATTGGAGAATTGACAGTAACAAGACAGTTTCAAATATAATACCAATTAAGAAATTTACATCTTTTCCAGAAAGAAACCTATCCACATATCCCCTATGAATTATAATTCTTAAAATAAGAGATAGGCTGGTAATATATAATTTTAATTCACTGAAATTTTATTCACATGGTAAATTCATATACAACAAATAATCCCAAAAATGTTATTAGTTAAATTACTGTGAGTCAGAATGACCTGATCACAGAATATGCTTCTCTGAAGATCAATCTAAAACAACAATTACCTTCAATTTTCCCAGAAAGCAAGAAATGCACACCTCCATTGATGACCTCTAACTGCAAAGCCGTAACTTTGCCAGAACCAGATACTGATCTTCAGAACCACACATAAAAAGAAACTGTTTTCCCATCTATTCCATTTTAAAATCTTCTAATTCTAGTGAAGAAGGAAAAACTGAAACTAAACATGAGCTAAAATGGTTTCCAAAATCTCCATCTCCAAATATTTTAAGTTCAGCTCAACTCCTGGAAACTAACAAAATTTCACAACTTTTAATCATACGTGTATTTAAACACATTTACTACTGTCTTCACTATGAAATGTTTTGACTATTTTCACACTATAGCACTTTTCAGGGCCTGTTCCAGACTGCATCATGAAAACAGCAAACTCTTCATCAGCCTTCCTCCCTAGAGACACCCATCTTCATGGGCATGAGCAGACACCTAGTGCCCTCTTGTGTTCTTTCCTCTGCATCCTGGGACAATTCAGAAAAACCTCATCTTCCCAGAGTACTCCGTCATACTAATCTTCTCTAATCCATTTCACGTGCCTTCCATGTTTGTTGTCTATTAGGAAAATTATAAATTAATCTGAGCTAATGTAATAATAGTGGTAATAAATCTTAATTCAATGTATTCTCTAAGGAAATACAGTTGCACGTTAACACCTTTCCCAAAGAGAAAAACTATGGTGAAAATGTAGGACTTCATAAAGAAAATATTTGGGGAAGTCAGGCTTTTTCTTACTTTATTCCATTTACTAAATGAAATAACATGAAATTTGCATTTGAATATTTTTATAAATATTTTTCCATCTTGGGCTGAACCACTTTTGAGACTTACAGAGAGGTAAGATTTTCTGCTAGAGGGCAAGTTTCAATATTTGGGCCACAACAACTATACATGTACCCTACTGAACATACCTTCTTTTTCTGCATATCTAGATGCACCACATGTTGGATTACAACCTCCAAAAAATAATTTTACATTGAAAAAAATAAATGTAAGCTAGTGAGTGATGGCTTTCGTGTTCATCAGCAACTGCTCTACAGCCCCAAATATCAAACGACCTATGCTAAGTCGACCAAGATTTGAGAGGGCTTTACTCCACTATTTTCAAACCAAGTACACCATAACTGACGAAGGTCAGACTTCCTATATAACACACGCGCATTCTACCAACAATATAAGTGAACAAAACAAGCAACTTATATCATTAAAGTGAGAACACCTATGGCAAAAATGCTAGCTACTCAACTTTCACTTATGAGCTGAAAAAGATTAGATTCTGAAGCAAACTATTTATTGATGAATGTATCCTTCAATAAATAACTGTTTTCATTTATAGTGTTAGTGATTGTATATATGTAATATTTTCATATTCAATACAACTAGAATTTACTTAAAATAATTACTGCTTCTTAATCTTCCAAAGTAAAAATAAAATATCACATAAAAACCTCTGTTAACAGGTCACGCCACCTTTTTCCTCTTTGTTTTTAATGGAATTCTAAGATCATTCAAACAGCTTTGGTTATAACTACTGAAGAATTAAATAACATAATTTCATTTTTCCATGCTTGAGCTCAAGTAGAAATAAAAAGTTAGTGACTTATGATTCAAAAGTGCAGTTAGAAATTAATTTGTAAACAACTGTATTCAAACAACCTAGGGCAAGACATATTAGTTTATAAAATGGCAAAACTAAACATTAATTCATACAATGAAGGCAAATGGTATAATAAACAACAATTTGATGATTCTTTATTGTTTTCTGAAGAAAAGGATTTTATTCCCCCACATCCTATATTTAAGTACATTTCATGTCCATGTATACTCAGAGGGCCTTTCTATATCAACCTGAAATTTTCTCTGACACTTTGTCTCTCAAATGGTAGCAAAAGTTGTTAAATACCAGTCAAGTACATTTAGTTGCAAAACTTATTTCAATATTTCATGTTTATCTCATGTGTAGCTTCTATGAAATTACCCGCATGATCACAGCCAAAATTTTATTTTCATAAAGAACTGTCACTGCATGACTAATCTGCCATGCAAAATATGCCAGAATTTTAAATGAATTAGATTTAATTTAAATTATCTTATTTATATTATTCAATCATACTAGCTTTTAGAGGTACATATCAAAATCTACTCAGGTTGAAACAACACTTTACACACAAAACTTAAAAAAGGATGTCTTTCTCTTAATGTTTAAGAAATGAATAGTTAAAGATTTTTACATATTTCCGTAATTTAAACAGCTTCTTCAAAAGACATAACCTCTAAATGCCAATGCACAGTTAAAGATTTTGATATTTCCAAAGTTGCTAAAATCTTTACAGACACCTTTTCTTAAGAATAATAAAGTATGATACAGATACATAATAAGCCTTAAAAAAAATACCTGAGAGGTCTTGCCTGGGGATTGCCTGCTTCTACATATGGATGTAAATAATCCTTTATGTAGAGATCAGCAGCACTATTAGAATGGGTGCAAATGAGAATCCTGCTGAAATAAATGGTGCAAATAAAAAGAATGATAAAACACAAAACTATTCAAGCAGTATAATACCAAAAAAAAAAAGCTGTGGCCATCTTAATATTATACAATTCCCTTACCCTACTTAGTAATCCCTAACATTATTCAGTGATAGCTGTAAGAAATTACACTACTCTTTAAGCTAAAAAGGAAGTTCCCCAAAATCATTTTTAATCTATCATCTAATATATATGTATACACTTAAACCCAACTTTTTCCACTCTAACAGATACCACAATTCCATAGCAGACTTGTTCTGATGGCTATTTTAAAACCATTTTAAAACTGTCTATATTGCCAATTTTAAAAACAGTATGTTTTAAGAGAATTCAAATTTTAGTGCTCTGGGGTTTGGGTTTATGGCTTTTCCTTTCTTCTTTTCTTCATGTTTAAGAGCTGCAGGAAAACTATGTTGCTAGCCCTCATTTGGTATTTAAAACAAGAACAGAGGTAGTACCCTACACCAGGGAAATATGAGCACACTTCCCACCCTCTCACCTAGTCTCCTGCTGCTGCAGAATATGTTTGACAGCCTGAGCTAGCGTGAACGTTTTGCCTGTCCCATAGGGTCCGATGATAAGCACAGGCGGCAGCTGGATGGAAAGTGGAGTGGTAATGGCCAGAACAGCCTCTTTCTGTTTTGCATTTAGTCGAGGATCCAACTGTTCATCCCATTGTCTATGGAAAATAAAAATTTATTTTAAACACATGCATCTCATTAATAAATGGAACACAACACACAAGTATCCTGAATTTCAGTGAATCATTAAAACCACTGAAATAGCATAGCATCTATTAAAAACAAATGCTTATTCTAAAGCTACTTTTTAGAAAGTTACCCAATAGTCAGGGTAGAGTGTTTTAACATGTAAATCAAAATTAATTTTATCTTGTCCTATTCTACATACAAAAATATTGTTGTAACTTATCTAAGGAAATCACATACTTTGAATCCAGTTGCTGCCAGGTCTTTAAGTAGAAATGGCAATGTTTCAAAAATGTAATTTCCCTCTGTTACAAAAAAGCATCAGAAAACATTTTACTGATATTAATGGAGTATTAGGTTTTTTTGCATAGCAAATGAAATGCAAAAGGAAAACTATCTAAATTTCAATTCTAATTATTTAAAATATCTGTTAGGTTTAAAACAAGAGGAAAAGAACAAACCTCTATGTCCCTGGTAAAGAGATACTAATTTTCACAAAGATCTTAACGTAGAATTTTTACAAAGATCTTGTTTGCCATAAAAAGCCAAACAAATGAAATGTTTAATATTTTTGCACATACACACACAAATAATACACATATCATATTGGTCAGAGTACAGAACACCTGTCACAGTTGCACATTTGGTGACTGTAATGAGATCTATCTTACTAGTATCCCTTCTATGACTTGGCTAAGTTTTGAAGATTTAAATGGACAGCAGATGCTGAAACAGATCAAACTGAGTAGAGAATCAACAGCATTCTTTCTCACAACTACAGTTAAAATACTATACATCACAACAACTATGGCAAAAATGATAGGGATGTGAATCAAAATAGGAAGGGTGTGTAAAGAAACTCTTAGAAAATTTAAAATCAAAGTGCCTGCAAAATAATCCTGAAATAGAGGACAGGGTTTAGACAGGAAAATTCCCTCTGTGAGGCTATATTTTACTTAAATCAGAAGCTGGTTATTTTTGAAAAACCTTAACACTTTCAGTTTTTAAGAAATTATAACCTGGCCAGGCATGGTGGCTCATGCCTATAATCCCAGCACTTTGAGAGGCCAAGGTGGGAGCGTCACTTGAGACCAGGAGTTCAAGACCACCCTGAGCAACATAGTGAGACCCCATCTCTACAATACATATATAAAATAACAGTTATATTATGACATATAATCTCAAACCAACAAAATTCGCCTTATAAAATATAAAAACTTAGAAAACAAACTGACCATAAAATCATGCCAATATTTCTTTTTCTGAAATTTGCCACTCACTAAATCTCATTTTATTTCAGAGTCCCTCAGCATTAACCAGCTTATTTATTCATAATTCTACCAGTATCCAGCCATTTTCTATCTTCTATAAATGAGAAAACTGCCTTAGGTGATGGTTAAGTCCAGACCTAATGTATGTGGTAGCATTAGGTGGAATGGTTACCCTAAAACCATCATAGCAGCTTTCTCTCTGTCTTCCTCTACTGTTAAGCCTAGCCAGCTATAACGCTCCATCTCCCAGCCTCCTTTGCTACAGACCCAATTCTGATCAACTAGATGGAGGAAGAAGTCCTCAGAAGGGTTTCTATACCCAATAAGTAAAAACAAAGCCTCACTTATTATAATTTGTTTTTTTTTTTTTAACTAAAGGAAGCCCTCCTTGCTCTTCACTTCCTTCCTCAGCTGACTGGAAAAAGCTTACGGTAAATAAACTATAGCAGCCATCTTTATTTTAAACTTTATTTTATTCCCAGAGCTAAATTATCAAAGTCCTTTCTTTCCCTGACCTAATACAGTTATAATTAATTTATAGACTACATGCTTAAGAACAACTTCTCAACTTCATTTATCTATCTATATGCCACATGATTCCAGAAAAATATTTTCTGACACAATAGTGGCTCACTGCAGCCTCAAACTACTGGGCTCAAGCAATCTTCCCAGGTCCGCCTCCCACCTAGCTGAGACTATAGGCATGTGCATCACACCCAGGTAATTTTTATTTTTATTTATTTATTTATAGAGATGGGGTCTCACTATGTTGCTAAGGCTGGACTCTAACTCCTGAGCATAAGCAATCCTCCCACTTCATCCTCCCGAAGTGCTAGGATTATAGGCGTGAGCCCATTACCATTACAACTAATGATTTCTCAGTATATTCCTAGACCCAAATACCTTTTACTTGCTATTTAAATTACAGTGGTATAAAAGTCTTTTCCTGCTTGAAAGTTTGCTTACTTTTGCAGTTAAAACTAAGCGCAGTGGCTCACGCCTGTAATCCTAGCACTTTGGGAGGCAGAAGCAGGCAGATCACGAAGTCAGGAGTTCAAGACCAGCCTGACCAACATGGTGAAACCCCGTCTCTACTAAAAATACAAAAATGAGCTGGGCATGGTGGCGCATGCCCGTTATCCCAGCAACTCAGGAGGCTGAGGCAGAAGTACTGCTTGAACCCAGGAGCTGGAGGTTGCAGTGAGCTGAAATTGCGCCACTGCACTCCAGACTGGGCAACAGAGAAAGACTCTGTCTCAAAAA